TTGGGGGTTTTTTTCTTGAGTGGGGGTGAGAGCCAAGTTGCATTATTGCTCTCTTATGCAGGCAAACGTACATCATTTCTGTTCGTCTCTTTCCCGACTCCCATGATGAGAAAGCTGAAACGGTAAAAGAAGACGCCGAAATGCTGTGCTCCAAATAGGTACTAAGACTACTAAGCCGTATAATAACGCCGGGAGAGGAAGACACGGTCGCTTGCTTAATCGCTAGGATTGGACAAGTGGGGAAGACAATGAAACTCCTAGGAGGTGCGATGGTAAAAAACGATGGCGCACATAAAAAGTCCACGGGGTATGAGCATATTCGTAATGAAACGTAAGAACTGGGAATTGGATAAAAGATTTGGACGAGAGAGTGGTCGTGGCATCTACCGGTTTCCAGCTTCTAGCTGCCCTGGTGTCGGCTGCTGGGAAGCGCTCGCATTGTTGGAAGCGCCCCTGTTACGGGTGAACCAGCTCGAGAATCGGGGAGGGCTTCCCTGGCTGGAAGCGGGGGTTATACGTGATAGCCAACCAGAATTCTGCCCAGATTGGGCTGTGCCGTGTGATGCACCGCCGGGTGCGAAATGGCCGCCCCGGCTAGACCGACCCATGCGTCCAGAAGCACGTTGTGGCGGGACGTCGGAATTGATAATCACTACCCGAGATCGAGAGAAGGGGTTGGTCGAGGCCCAGACGGCCTGTGGTGACGTGGGAGCAGCGCCTGGACGGAGGCCAGTGGTAGGATCGACTTCACCTTCCGGGCGAGGCTTTGGAACATAGTAGTCGGCCTTGCAGAGCGGGCAGCAGGCGCGGCGACTTGTCAACCACGGGTCAACGCAACTAGCGTGGAAAGCATGACCGCAGGTCAGTCCTCTTACGTCTTCGTCATCCTCGAGGGTATCTATGCAAATGGCACACGTGTCGCCGGGCTCGGCCAGCAATTCTGGTGCAGTGGCAGTACGAATCGGGTCATCGTCATCGTCATCTGAGTCGTCTTCTCGCTCGCGTACGGTTGCTTGTGGCGTAGGGCTGCGCGCCTCGTCCTCCTTGGCCTTGCCGGCGACCGCCTCGTCTTTTTCCATGTGCTTCTCAGCATCATGGACGTGCTCGCCCTTTTTGCTTTCCACGCTTGATCTCGGCGAGGATGACGAGTTTTGGGCGGCATGATCTTGGCGGGCCATGGAAAGCGCAGTGTCTGTCCTCGGTCCTGGGCCGTCGTCTGGGGTAGGCGAGGCAGCCTCGACATCCTTGATGCTTGATGCTCTGCTCTGGGGCGCTGTTGCGATGCCACCGTTGGATGGCAGTCCCTCGGTCTCGCGACTCGACTTCCATTGCTTGTACTTGGTCAGGGAGAAACGTTCGTTCACCTCGTCCATGGTCATGAGCTTCTTTTCCCTGCGCCTTCGGTGAGGACGGGGCACGTTGGCCATGTCGATTTCAGCATTGGCAGCATTCTGGGCAGCGCGACGGCGATTGTAGCGGAAGCAGTACTTGACGCCGACGATGATCCTGACGGGGGAGTCAGCATGTTGAAGGCAGACTATATCCGTACGCGAAGCCTACCATAGGTTTGTAAAGACGACACCGAAGCCCAGCGCGACGAAGAAGAGCAGCGGCGAACTGGTGGGACCGCCGCCTCCACCGCCACCGCCATTATCAGGCCCGCCGGTGGGGCTGGGTTGGCTGGGGGAGGCGGG